TATATATACATATATATATATATATATGTGTGTGTGTGTGTGTGTATTTACAATGCCTTGTCTTGTGTTAGATGAATTTGTGGGGCGTTATTGAAATATTTGTGGGGTTGCAGTCGTTTCCTGTAATGGTAGGCTACCTGATTATGGTGTTCTTGGCATCATTCTACCACAAAATCACCAAACCCCTGTCACTGCGCATGGTAAGTTACGGTAGGCATAAAAAACATGAAATTTCGATTTTGAATGACAATGAAAAACTCACGATTTTCATAGATCCCTGATTAATTTGAAGAGATGAATTGGTAGTTAAGATGCTTGACTTCCGATTCCCAGGTCCTGTGCCTGTCACTGCAGGTTTTTTTGTTTTTTTTTTCGCACGGCTGAAAACAAATACAGCTTTACCCTATACTAAAAAAGAGACTTACGACCTTGTTTCTAAATCATTGCTCCATCCTGTAACTTGTATGTGAAGGGAATAATTCTAGCCTACATCAACCGCAACATAGTTCGGCATAAATAGAGGCATGTATTTGAGTAAAACTATCGGTTTTCATTCCCCGACAACCAATTAATAATGAAAAAGGAAAGCTTTAGTCTAATTTGTGTAGTAAAATCCAGGAAAAATGTACTAGTGTGTCTCATTTACATACTTTTTACGGAAATCCTTAAATTGATGGCCATTTAAACTGAAGTTAGAAAAAGATAATGTATATTTAAATTTAAAATTAACGACGAATAATTGGTAATGTTAACAAATCCTAACAATCCACGCAGATGTATTTACGATTCATTAAAAATCATTTAATTTGACGGATTAATTTTAAAAAGTATAAATGAAAATATAGGCCTATTTAACAGACGAAGCCAGGTTAACCCATAAACTGAAAGCGAAATCACTTGTGTCCAATGGGGTCCACGATCTACGAAAATATTGGATCAGTAGACACAGGCCTATTTTCCTCATATTTTAATTTTAACCTTAAAAATACCTACTACTATTATGTAAGCAGTTCGAATATTGTATTTTAATGTTCAAAATGTTTGTCGATAAGTGCTGCTGAAACTGATGTCACACTATTTCTTTCAGCTGATGATAGTTTACAACTCGTTATGTAGTATAGCCAGCGTTGGTACTTGTATTGCGTTTGGTTACGGCATGTACAACGTCAGGTCCGTCTTTGCATTGGATTCATCTGATGTTCTTAAACACGCCTTTCTAATTTACTGGATTATGAAAAACATTGAGCTATTAGACACAGTGTTCATGATTCTACGTCACAAGCACCGCCAGATATCGTTCCTGCATGTATACCACCATTCGTCAATGGTTCTTTTAAGTGACTTTGCTTATCAATATTCTCCGTATGCTGGTATTGCGTTTCTACTATCGCTCAACTCTTTTGTCCACATTTGGTTATATTACTATTATAGTATTACAGCCTACGATTCTAGCCAATCACCATCCTGGAAGAAACGCATCACGCAGCTACAGATCGCACAGTTTGTCATCGCGATTGTGCATACCACTCTGGGATACCAAGCACATGGGTTCTGTGTTTACAGTATGTTTTATTCATGGAGCATGATGGCCTTATTCAGTAATTTCTATTATCAAGCTTTCATAAGGAAAAGAAAACCTAAATCAATATGATAGGCCTACAATACATTTGTAATGATTGTTAGGCCTGTAATATTTTTGAGAAAATGTTTTGTCTGAACTAGCGCTGGTAAAGATCAATTGATTCCATTCGGATTCGAAGCCCCAGTGGTCCAATTGGTTTAAGGTGTCTGTGTAGACAGCAAAAAGCATCTGGGTCCTTAGCGATTTTACGAAGGAAAATAGTTATATATACATATATACATTATCTTTCTACACATCTAGATGTGTATAAGAGACAGATATACTATAGTCTGTTTATTATACTGTCGGCATAATGTGGGAACGACTATTAATCTCCGTTCTCATTACAAACTGTTTAGTACTATCAATGTATAGGCCTACCCGATTTTAATTACTCTCATTATAATCCGCATTGTTATTCTTAACTCCTCCCACTACAGTTTATACATTATTGTGTTCCCAGTGCTAAGCAGCAACTTGATTTGAATATTATTTACTATGATTTACCAGCTGCTACCTACAAGCTAATTCGTAGGCTTAATTTTGGCTCCACTATGTGTGAGCCCTCAAGTTGTACGAACTCTCCGAGACTAGTGGCCTTAGATCCGTAATTATATCGTACGGGCCCCTGTGGTCTAAACGGTATGACGCTCGCCGAGATAGCGAGATATTGCGGGCTCGATTCCCACCAGAGACCTCTTTTTCGTACAACTATAATAAGGAACTTTCGTTGAACTATGTTTGATAAGATTTTATATCATCATGTTCCTTGAGCACTGAGTTATTATCTGTTTGATTTATACAGTATTTGTGTTTCCGGTGCTAAGCAGCAACTTATTACGTACAAGCCATATTACTATGTCTATACCCCTCAAGGTGTATGAAGGGAGAAAGACTAGTTAGATAGATCCGTCATGATATCGTACGGGCCACTGTGGTCTAAACGGTATGACGCTCGCCGAGATAGCAAGAGATTGCAGGTTTGAACGAAGCCAAGGTGGTCCAATTGGAGGAGTCTTCAAAGACAGCAAAATGATTTGGGTCTGAATCACGGTTTTCCATTTAGCTATTTTACAAGGCACCATATTTTACAAAATAAATGACGATTTACCGTTTTTCAACAGATTAAAAAAAGAACTTGAAATTATCTTCTTAATATAACTCGATATGCATCCTAATGGCAAAAAATATATGACCTTAGCTCGGTGCACAGAAGTAGATTGTGTATAATCAAGGGCGTCGGAAGCGGTCCGGTTTTGGCCGGACCAATAATTTACAACTCAGTATCGTTTGTAAGCAAAATTGTACTTTCTCTGACGCAACCTCTTCTTTTTTTTTTACAAAATTGAATAACCAGACTTCAAGCAACAAATATTTAAACCAGTCAACCTCGTCTACGTGCTGTCTAGGGGTGGCACCATGATTTTCCCTACGGGGGAAGAGGTCCCCGACGGGAGGGGTGGGGCCGATGCCCTTAACGAGGGGTCAGATTTCCATCACAATAGCAATGTGGTCGAGAGTCGCTTAAAATGCCTCGAATGCGGTCCAGGGGGTGAAGCCCCAAAATTTTTGACAATTTAAGGATTTCAGAGGCTTATTTAATCGATTTTAGAGCCTATTAATATGTAGAAAATACATATAATTTTTTTCTCCCCCCTGAAATTGTGGTTTGTTTCCCCGACGGGGATGGGGTGGGAGGGGAGTGACCCTCCGGTTCCCCGCTGGCGCCACCCTTGAAGCTGTCTGAATTATAGGGGGTTTTTTTACCTGAATGGATGTAATATAAATAACGAAGTACTGGTACTGGGTATTTATATTGCGCCTTTCCCTTGTGGTTATTTAGCGCAAGCCAAACTTCAATAATTTAGAAAAACAATGGTTGAAATAAAATTTGTCATTATTCTGGAATCACAATAGTACAGTCCCACAACAAAAGCAAACCAAAGAATACAAATTACAACTTTGGACAAGTATAATGGAGTGTTATGCTTATTAGTAAGAAATATATCAAAATGTTCCATATGTCATTTATACGGATCAAATAAGTTATCAACTACAACGCTAAACAAAAAAAAAAAAATTTTTTAAATTAAAACATAACTTGCACATTCAGCCTATTGAAAATATGGAACAAATTTGAAATTATTTCATTTTTACTGTAGTTAACTATCAATAGCTTAGGCTTATTTATGAAGATTTGATTCACCACGTAAATTACGTGTTAATTAAATTACGTTACGTTACGTAAATTAAGTTACGTTATTTGACTGCATCTTTAATAAAGCTAGAATTAACTGAATATTTAAAACTGTTAAGAAATAATTCAGTAAAGACCTACCACAAACCTACAGTGGCGGATATAGGGGTGGGGTGAATAACCCACTTCGGTGACCATAAAAAAAAATGGTCACTCTTCTTGTGTGTGTGCTTTTTATGTATACAGTGGAACACGTCCCCAATTATTTTAAGGGGATGGGAGTTTGGTCTCCTCACTTTTCGTCCGCAATGTAATAACGTTGTAAGTCAAGAAGATGCCTGAAAACTGTTGAAATGAACTGCATAAATGACCCAGGTTTTAGAGGGTGTGGACTCACGAAATGTCCCCTCACCATTCGTTCGAAACATATCTGTGCCCTTGCAAAAGCGATCTGTGCCCTTGCCCCACCCCCTTGCGCTTGGTGCTTTGCAAATCGCATTATTCCAATAAAAATTGCTTCCGACGCGCCTGATAATTAATAATGAAGATGAGCGAACCGATGCTCTGGTTTGTAGATTTGTGGTAGGCTATCTCTACTGCAAATATTAGCGAGTCATGAACTGACCTTTAACGTCAACCATCAAACAATACATTATCTGACTAAATGTTTGGCTTAACAATAGCATTGGGTATTGTCATAGATAAATATTGCGTCATGGCTCGTGTCTGACTTGTCCTTCATCATGGAATTTCGTGACATTTTCGTTGCAAACTACCCGGCTAACAATTTGACGTTAGACCTATAATAACTTTACAGTTTTGTGTAACCGCAACGTATATATCCGTAATTTCCAACAAAATATCGTTGCTATTGTGCAACCACATCTACAACGTTCGTGAATTTTGTGTTTGCTGGGTATTTTCAGAGAGTTGTTGGTATTTTTAAGCACTTGACAAATCATTTAGGAATGATTATTGGAAGGCCCACGAGTCAAGTTCTCATTATTTTGTCATAGGCCTAGACGTATATACAGTTTCCATGGCACATACAATGTTAACGCTTTTGTAAATACTCAGGCCCGGTATTCAATTCAATTCAATTTAATTTAATGGATATCACTTTTTGTAACAGTGGCACACGTTAGACAATACCCAACGGTGCATCGAAATATAAGAAAAATAAACTTAAACTTATAAGAGTAAATTAAACTAAAATGTATATGCAAAGTAAAATAATAAAGGAGGGAAGCGATGGGTGTGTACGTCCCCTCGTAAATCGGAAAACGTCTACGTTATAAGACAGACCGACACCTGTCTCTTGAATGTTACGTTACCCTCAATAACTCAAATTTTCCCTTTTAATCACGATAATGGTCCTAATAATTCCTATTAATTTGTGATTTTTGTATAATTATTATTTTTCCAAAACCTGAACTATTTAAGCGATGTTTGTTTAAAAAAAATAAAGTATTAGTATGGGAACCGTTTATTTAAAAAAAATGACCTATCGTATGTCAAAAGTCAAGCTATGGTTAATTGACAACACGTACGTTTTTGAAAATCATGCATTCGATAATTATTGCTCAATATGTAAGTAAATAATATTATCAGAATACTTGAATAATGTACACAACCATGACGTGGGCTGCTTTAATTTCAATAGAGATGGATGGTGAAAGTTCCTAGGATGCTCATCAAAGATAAGCCTAGTTTTTAGAGGTCCTTTAGCCTTTCCATGTGGCCAAATGTACGACTGTAAAAAAAAAAAAGGATTCTGTTTTTCTTATAATCTGTCTTATTTTTCCTTGCTAGGTCCATTTTCCAGTGGCGAACGAAGAGTTAACCGGGGCCGAGAAAGGTTTGAGCCCGTACATTTTACAGTCGATTGAGGGGCACTTCACAGTGAATATGATAACCGTATACGTGTTAGGCCTACTATTACTATAATTTAGTACGAATTCTCTGTGAATTCTATAGCAGTCCTTTACTACAAAATCAAATTAAACCAATATATTTGTCCATTGAACACAAGTAAAATGGAAATTCCACGCAAAAAACTGAAATATCAACATTAAAATATCATTGTAAAAACACTAAAAGTACCGTGAATAATAACATTTGGAAGTTAAGCATTGCTTTAAATTTAAAATGATTAATATATTTTTTTAAATTTAAAATTCAATGAAGATAGAAATTCGTATGTCGGAGTATTTTCATTTCAGTTTATACTAGTGGTACATTTTGGGTCGGGAATTCATATTGCATAAAACATTGTTATGCGAGTCCGCTTGGGACATTCGTGGTGACAAAACGTGATATTACATTGTTTTAATTTGCTAGTTTTTTGTGACTTTTACTGAACCATTGATTGTCAAGGATAATCAAGAGTGCTGTTTATGACTAAGAGTGTCCCCTGGGCCCCTTTGTACTGGTGTCTGGGGCTTCACCCACCCGAGAGCTCATAGGCGAGTCAAGCCTATTCCTATGCGCAGTAAAGGCATGACATACCGTACATAATCAAGAAATAAATGGACTTGAACAAAGAATGTGAAATGACGTAAAAGTGTTTTGGTCAAATAGGGAGATTTTGCAATCTTACGAATGAAAACTATAACGAATACGTCATTATCATTATCGTCAGTCGTGCCTAAAACATGCTTGAGCTGTGAGCTGAATATGATCCTTGATTCATGCAAAAAAGGCATGAGTCAGCGACGTTGTGACAGATAATGCTACTGTAGGGAAAGGGTTGTCTACAAATTTGATGACTTTTAAACCGTATTCGTTATCGTTTTCGTAAGCTTGCGAAAACCCACTATTATCTCGTACGTACGATACGGTATGTACGAGGTTACGAGGTACGAGAATAATATCCAGTATGATGCGCCGACTGCTCAATCGCCTAAGCAGCTAGGCTTTTTACATAACCATCCCCTTATACTCCAATTGCACTCTCAGACTTTTAAATGGTTTTCAAATAAATACTGTAATAAGATTTATAAAGCGCACATATCCACTTCAGTAGTGCTCAGTGTCGTGATAGGAAATGAAAACAAATCTGTCAAGCGGTTTGTTTGCAAGATTGCTGAAAATGTTTGCTATCATATTTGCGGATCTAAGGTTGAAGAGGGAGCGGCTACATAGTGGCATATCGAGGCTGTCACGGGGGTGGGAGGATATGAGTGCTAGTCAGGGGTGTATTCAGGATTTGTTCTTAGTGGGTCGTGATTATAATATTTTAGACCTTTTCAAAATGAAATAACAGCAAGATGTGATTAAAATGTCAATTGTATGTTTGAAGGGGATGGCATGCTCAGTTTCAGAATTGCTTGATATAGATTAGTCATGCAATTATTGGCAAGGTCTTTGGGCTCAATGCTGGTTCTCATCAATGCTTTTTCATTTATGTCATTGTGAAAAGGCCCTAGAAAATAAAGTCTTTGGAAAAAATGTACTTGGACCTTTGAAAAAAATTTTTTTTGAGGGGGGGGACACGTCAACCTTCCCGACCCCCCTTGCATACACCCATGCTGCTATCCTCCATTAGGGAGCTTTTGGTTGCACGACGACGGTAGGATGTAGAACGTAATGACGTCACTAAAAGTCATCTGCGCATGCGAGAACGCTAAGTGACCGTAGATTCTGGAACGCAATTGGCCAAATCTACGTATGCAGGTAGGACGGTCACGCATGAGTGATTCCGTTCTAGCGTCGCACAAATCGAAAGCTCCCTATTATATACTTTGGAAAAAATAGGCACTCGACAAGTACCGGTACTATCTGGTATATTATTGCTATCTAGAATCACGAGTATATTTTCCTCCAGAATTTCAGACATTAACAAAGAGAACCAGCTAAGAGTGACAACGTATAATACAAGAGGCGTAAGACATTTTTTTTTATACAGAAGATGATGCCACTTTAGGAAGACACTTAACATCTTGTGCTTTAATTTTAATCAATCTCAATACTGTATGTCAATGTAATATTTAAACATCAAAGAAAATCGACATATAGAACAATAGGACGACTAAGCATTAGTCAAGAACTACTTTAAGAATCGATCCAAATCACAATATATATTTCTTCAGATAAGTTTACTTATTAACATAAAATAAAATGTAAGATAAACTCAAGAAAATGAAATGGTGATAAAATCAAAAATCGATGGGGCTGCCTATCAGTATCACAAAAATAAGGGGTACTGCCATGTGAACAGACTGATTTGTCGATAAATTCAAATGTACAAAAACAATTATTCCATGTAACGCATGTATTACATACAATGTTAATTAGATATGAATAATTAATCACTACAAATATTAGAAAAAGTGATATTCTGCCAATTAGCATTTGCTATTGCCAAAAAACTTTCAAAATTTTGCATAATCATTAACCTAGTTAATAACAAGTATGTAAGGAGCAATCACCTTTTTGCAAGACAAACATAAGCCTACATACATAATTCCCTACAGTAACCAAGTCACTTGACATGAATTCAACCCAGGCCCCTGCGATTTTCTTCTCCGCTTAGATGCTTTTTGCAAAATAATTTTAATAAATAAGAAAAAAAAAATGTATTTTTCTTTTCCCCCCCCCCCACCACCCCTCCTCTCAAGATATTAAAAAAAGTCTCGCCTAACAGAGAGCTACTGCTAATCACGTAGGGAAAAACATTGTTTCTTTTAAATCTCTTACACAAACACCATCGAAAATACATACTATTTTACAATATCAATAGGTCTGCTATTCCAAGTCTCAAAAATGTTATTGTCAATTTATTTAAAAAAATGTTTATTGCAACCATGTAAACACAATTTTTGTTCATCCATTGTGATATTATATTTCTGTATATTAGCTTCTGATGAATAATTGTATCAATTGTATTTTTGGTTTTCTAAGTTGTTCAATTAACAAAATGGTATGTTAATTTCAATTTGTTTAATTTTTTTGCTTCTCCTACTCGGACTTGTAGTTTTTCGGCATTAAAATAAAGCATATTATTATTAATATTATTATTATTATTGCAAACTTATTAATGAAATGTATGCTCAGTTTATTTTATAAGTTATAGTAACTAGTATTTTTTTATAATAAATATATGAATATTTAATCAAGCCTTCATACCGACATGATATGGTATATTCCAATGTTCTCATACTGTAGCTCAGTTGGTAATGCAACATAACAGTAGTTCGATTCACAGGGTGATAATGGACATATATTTTCTCAGATTAGTAACACACTATAGGTAACAGCAAATTATTTATTCAAAGAGATTAACCTAATATCCATATAAAAGCACATCCATCTTTTGATGTTCTTGCTCTTCAAAGAAGCTGAATAGGGCAGCCCAAACCCACTCCATGATTCTGACCTTCACATTGCTGAAGTTTCTGCGGTGGATCTCTAGCTGTAGATAAAATAATTTCAGTTATGAACAATGAAAAAACATACATCATCCCACAGCTTCAAACCCAAGGTCTCTCACCAATACAGAAAATGTATGTGTGTGTACAGTAATGAATCATGTGACAATGTGAACATAACAATAGGTACAGTAAGTGATAAATACTTTGCTCAAATATAGGATCAAATGATAACGGTATTGAGCA